AAATATGAAACTAAGCCTAGCCCATTGAATTTTACATGCAATTACAATTCGATATGAATTATTTGCCATGTGGTAGAAATAAGATAAGGGGTGGGGACAGCATACATATTGAAAATTGGACATACAAATAATTTCAACTGAGTTTCTAATATGACTACTGTCTTTAGCCAAAATAGAAGTAGAAACTGAAAAACTAATAATAAATTACTTATGAATAGATAATATCATATGCAAACCTTATCTTCCTCGTGATTTTTGGAGTTAAAAACATCAGATTTGTCACGGATCAACTCCTTAAGTTTTGCTTTCAATTCTTCTTTGTTCTCATGTACCTGATGCCAATGGGATGAAAGAAACAACATAGTAAGCACCATTATTATAACGTACAACATTCGAATAAATATATATTGCAGGATGCTTATACTCTCTTAACTCCTCCCCAGCAAGGCTCATACCAAATCATAGGTTAGCCCATGGAATATGAGTCCTAAAGAATGGCTGTAGGAGTCAGAATTACATTAAAGTGCCTCTCCTGAAGCAGGAAAACATACTTCTGTTTCAATACTATCCTCTGCTTCGACAATAGCAGCACCAATAGTGGCCCCTGACGATAAACGTCGCACTTTGTGTGGCTGACCAGAGGATCCATTACCATTAGACTCCATTGTTTGCTGAAATGGTGCAGGTGAAGGGCCCGAGGCAAGACGGGAACCATGAAATCTAGCAACTGGAACCAGAGAATCAGGTTGAATTTGAGGCTCCACATCATCTCCTCTTCTAGCTTGTGCTTTTTCCCGCTTGATTCTTTCTGCTTGACGCTGTCCGTTACCAGCAGCATAGAACAAATTAATACTGAAAACTTCACTAGGTCAAAGGATAAGTAAAGAGGTACAGTTCAAAATATAATGCATTCATTCCAAGAAGCCTCAAGTCAGTCTATTCATATTAAGGCGCATATATGCCCATAAAACATTTTCAGAAACATTGAAGATTCAAGTTTTAAAACTACAAAACTCCTCAGAGCAAACAGCAGAAGGCAACTCAGAAGTTATACAATTATGAAATAGTTAATCTTGCCACCAAAGCATACAGAACAAGTGCCATGTCAGATTCCAATCATGACACTTTAGAATAGTTGGGTGATAATCACATCTCTTGCACAATCAGTGAAAAGAGGATTGAACAGGTAGATAAATACCACTGCAACATTAAAAGAACCAAAGCAACAACCCAACCATAAGATAAAGATCCCCAACCCTTATTTTTATGAAAAGTGAAAGGCAACCATGAGCAAGTTTTCCAGGATAATATGACTCAATGACAAAGCCCAAACATAAGCGAAAATTGCTTTAAGTGAAATAAGAATCATATTGATCCTAAACTCAACAAACCTGATGCAATCGTGCTCTTTTCTGGAATATTTTATCTTCATAGGATCCCACAGCCTGGATAAAATGCTCTACCCTGCTCAAATTTGGCTGAAATTGCAAACAAGCAGTCAAAACTATTAGTGTACCGAATGAAATTTGGTGATTGGAAAAATACATAGCTGACACAAACAAGAGTAACAGGCACCTTGCTTCCATTGGTCAAATAACCACCCAATGACCTCAATTCCTTCTTGTATGCTGCCATTAACAAGTTGATTGCACCCTGTAAAATTAAGAAATGGAAAAAAGAAAGCTTCCTATTAAAACCTCAGTTTTATATATGAAACCTTTAGTTTCCATTCACAAAATCATTATGAAAATTTAAGCCAACAGTAAAATAATTACTTCAACCATTTACAGACCTCACGAATCTCTAGTGTGGGCATATGAGGTAAAAAATCATTGCCAACAAAGAAGCACATGAATATAAAATCATCCACAACACGCTCCAAGTCCATTTCAAAAGGAAGGTTGGGGATTCTCATCTCATATTCCAGATACTCCCTAAGTGTCCATATGTTCAGAAACTGCAAAGAGAAGCAAATAACAAGTTGTAATTTATTGAACGATTTTATTATAATCATTTCAAATAAATATTCAATTGAAAAATTACCTGGTAAGGCTTTCTGGCCACAGCTTTTCCATCACCTTTCTCATCAAATTCTCCAGCCTTCCGCTTTGCCTTTCCTTCACAATCTGCTGCTACATGGCCCATCTGACCACACAGGAAGCATTTATCTTGTCCAGGGGTAAAGACAACCTGACAGTATTCCATAAAACCTGTTACTTTTGGGCCAATTGGCAAACAGGATAATAGAAGGATAAAACATGCTTCCAAAAATAATTTAGCTTGTAACATCCACTTAGTCTGATAAACGAGTAAAATAATCAACCTCAAACATAAGTTATAAAAATACGAGAAAGGCAGATCGCGTAAAAAATTTCTAGCAATTTATAATGATTCTCAATGTAGCAGTTTTCTTCAAGTTTAAAAAATACAAACCTCTCGGAGGATTGAAAAATGAACTTCATGAGTGGCCAAGGCCAACATAATTAAATCAGCATCCTGTCAAGAGTCAACAATTAGCAGAGTGCAAGATTTAGTCCACTAAAGTTGGCCAAAGCAAATAAATAGAAGTAAAGAGCACATGCATATTAATTTATATAGAGAGACTGAAATCCAAAATGGAAATAATAAAGGGAGAAATATACCAAACCATACAGGCAATGGCGTGTATTTGGATTAAAACCAGGAAGGTTCCTTTGGAGCCGAATGTATGACATAATTTTATGTTCTCCTTCACCAGGAACATTTGCATCAGAGAGAATAACCTTCAATAAGATGAAAATATAAGAAAAGGCCCAAAACTCTCCATCATGTCAAAAGAAAGCAAAATGCAACAGAAAGTAAAATAAACAAGGAACCATAACATTGATGCTACCTTGGTAGTTTTCCATCCAGGATCATAATTTAATCTAAGGTGGATATAGTACTGCAAAGCAATTGACAAAACAGCCATAAATGGAGTGCCAGGTGTAATAACATTTGAATCAAAAAGTTGTGATTCCTCTTTAGGAGGAAGCCTTCTGCCCTCCCTCTCAAACTCCTCTCGTAGCCTCGCTTCTTCAGCTGCCTACCAAAGGAAAGTTAACAAAAACAAAATTATTATCAAATTTGGCTTCTGTTGTAGCATCAATGTCATTAAATTGCAGGAGAATATGAAATACCTATGTCAACAAATTCATTCTTGAATGATCTTAAGATTTCATCTAGTATACAGATTAGCATTGGAAACAAAAAAAGAAAACTACCCAAGCAATGACAAGATCACATACCGCCTCTGCAGCATCTTTTGCAGCTCTAAATCGCCTAGAGCGCTGCTGGTTCATTTTGGCCCGAGGGGCAACGCCATCTACAGCGTGTTTCCAGATATACAGTTAGTATTACCAAATATTTATACATACATTTTTTCTGCATGTCAAAAATATCAAAAATATCTTTCAACCGAAGCTAGCACTACTCACCGATGGCCATAAATAAAAGCTTCCGAGGACGGACCATAACAAACAATCTATCAATGTAATCAAACATGCACTGAAATACTTCATCAAAAGTTGTCGGCGAAGGCTGCATGAATTGAAATCAAAATCACCAAATTATAATCACTCTAACAATTGCAACGAAATATAATGCTGGAAAATAAATGAAAATTTTACTGTGTTGAGAAAGTTACTCTGTCCTCGGGGTGGAAACAAGGATGAATGATCCCGTTCATGTCGAGATAAAGATTATCGAATTCGAGTTTGTTGGGGTTAGGTTTACTCGTATCAACCGGAATCGAGATGCCGTCGATAACCACCGGTTCTTCCTCGATAACGTCCATTATAACCAGCGGATACTTCTCCGCTAACCATCTGTAGAACGCTGGCACTCCCATCGCCAATCCCCCCCAATTCCAATCTCTCGCGGATCTCTAATAAAAGCGAATACCAAAGACGAAAACCCTAACCCTAAAATCGATAAAAATAAGAGAAAGAAGGAAACCTAGGCTTGCTTTCGAGTTTTGTTTTCTAGCTTCTGGTCTTGTGAGGCTGTTGCTGCAACGGCGAATTAGGGCACGGTGACAAACTTACAAGACAATAATACCCCTACGAGATTTAGCGGATACAGAAATAAAGAAGCATAGGGGTGTTTACGTCTTTGAATATGGGCAAGGTCGTTCTGGTCTTGGAATTATGGAGCGAGCAGGTTTTCCTTTTTATTTTTCTTTTGAACATTTTTTGGAATATACTTCTCCCTCGCCAATAAGGAGGTGGCTGTGAGATAATTGCGTGACAGACCAAAAACTCTAGAGGGCGATATGTGGATTTTGATGTGGGGCCTTTTTGCTTTTCTTTTAATGTGTCGCCGTGTGTCTTTTAATGGAAATCTAACGTCAATAGTGTTAGCTGTGATTGACGTTGATGATCTGATTGACATTGTCCACTAAATTATCAATTTCAAAGGGAACGTCAAATGTGATTTTTCTTGTAATAATAAAAAATATTTATAGTTTAATTAACTGAGTTGAATTAGTACTTCATTTTGGCAATTGGAGCATAGCTAAGCAAACGGAATTGAAAATATGGCTATAGTTATAAATTGATTAATTCGATTAACAAGAAAAAAGTAAAATCGAAATTAATTGACTTAATTGATTTAACTGGTCTTATTTTCAAACTAACTAAACTATTTTAATCAAATTTATTAAATTATTTTGATTATTTTGATTTTAATCAAATATTGCTCACCTATAGAGCTAAATGCTCAAAATTACCCCTATCATGTTCACTGAATTATTAGTAAAAGAAAGGTAAGTTTAAACATGTTTATTATAATATATTTTTTTTGAAAGTTTCTATTACAATCCATTGAGCTCGTGGCTAAATGTTGATTGTATAAGTGTTTTCTTTAGTTCAAGACTATAGACTTAGAATCTCAGGCATTAGTTGATTCCACTAGTTTAAATGCAATAAAAAAAAAAAAGCACTTGATCTTAAAAACTTCTTCAAAGTCTTGCATGGGTAAATATTTTCAAGTAGTTTAACATTTGTGTAATTTATGCAAGTCTTGTTTATGTCTACAATAGTGTATCTTGATAAATATTTTTAAGTTTCATTGAAAAATTATTCCTTCAGTCATAATCAAAGAACACCACATTCTTACATCCCCAATTCATATGTATTTAATTCTTTAATCAATACATACAAACTAATTTCTTATACACTAATTATTTATTCACTTGTTATCTAATTACATATTCTTTTTGTATACTAGCCTTGTGCAGCGGTCAGTTGCAACCAAACAACCAACCGCAATTGTCTATTATTGTAACTGATTGCAATCGTCGATAGTTTCGATTGACCTCGTCAATCGATTGGTTCGGTTGTCAGGGGAACTTCTTTCCCCTCGAATTGATCAATTAACCAGTAAGGAGCTTTTCTCTCTTTTTTATAAGGGATGAAAATACAAAAGTACATTTCATTAAACCTCCCCTAAAGCACAGCTGCTATTATTTTCGTTTTCCCTCGACCTAATTTTCCCTTCCCTTTTCGCCTCTTCTTCTCATACTAAACCCTAAGCCAACAGCCACCAATCAAATGGGTTCCCTTCTCTTTTCGCCTCTCCCTTTTCACCTTTCCCTCTCATACTAAACCCTGATCAAAGCCGATCAAATCGAACCCCATTCAAATCGATCACAACTGACTTTAGGTACTATACGGTTCAGTCGGTTAGAAAATATTAAATTTTAAGTTGGTTTTGTAAAAAATCGAACCAAAAATCGATCAAATCGACATTTGCTCACTCTTATTATATACTAGTCGAAATACTTTGACAATATAACTAGTAACTAAATTATAATACGGTCAACTAAAAGCATAATAAATTGCTAGTTAAGATGAAATGTAAAGTAAATTTCATTTACATTTTTTTTATAATTTTATTTTTTTCATATGACGATTTGTGATTTTGTCTTTTTTTCAGTTAATATAATGTACATAAGTTATATTATCAATCGAGACTGCAGCATATACAAAAAAATCTGCAAGGCATTCACACCCTCTAGAACCAACAAAATGATTAGCAAGACCTCCATAGTTCCTGTCTAGAGCTTAGAGGTGTAATATAATAAATTATAAAAATACCTTTAAATGTGAATAATAATTTTGAAATATTCATTTTTTTCGCGTTAAGTTAAGATGATAAGCTTATAAACTGTATTTTCTTCAAAGGTTGGAATAAAAATATATAATTTAACAATAGTTCAAGTAGTTAAGTGTTAGATGTAAGGAATTTGAACAAAATTCTAGATTCAAATGATGGCATTCCAATCTCTGATAGCTGATAATTCAAAAACTTTGCCACCACCATCATGAAATCAAGGCATAGACATGGAACAACCATCTTCTTTTGTTCTTGAAAAAGAAAACGCTGAAGCCAACTGGCAAGCTAAGGATAATGTAACGAAGGTGACTACCCCTGAATGCGATTGAGCATTATAGAAAGCAAAGAATCAATGCAAGATAGATAGCAATACCGGCAAGACGAACATTTCAAGGCTTCCCATCCAATCATGTTCAGACTTGGAGTCCTGAAATTCTTGGGTCAGAATTGGGCTGCGACGTCCTTTCAACCTTTTCAATATGACCTTCAAGCCCATAGTTTTCCGCTGAATCAAAAGCCACGGGTGATGGGTCTCTCGTCGTGGTCCCAGCGCCAAACTTCCCGTCCACAAACGAGAGAGCGAGTGAAACAGGCAAACGTGTGGATCTCTTTTCCAGCCGAATGGTCTTTCTTCCACCACCAACAGCAACAATGTTCGCCAATTTTAAAGCCTCAATCTTTGTCACCCAATTTCCACGGATCTCACTGTTCTTCTCTAACAACTTATTCTTCAAACCGAATCTCACAATTTCCTACAATCATGTCTGTAACGATTAAAGTACACTTCACCACTTCCACCACTTATCTTAATTTGAGCAACAGACCCAGCTGTTTCACGGGTTGTTATAGCACCCAAATCCGACCAAAACCAATTTACCATTCTAACACCTTTAAACGTCAACATTTCACAAGCCGAGAAGAATGCAAGCTCTGGTTCAGTCTTTCTTCGACTCCTTGATCAAGAGCTCATTGATCGACCAGATGGTGGGGTCCTCGTCGATGTGGTGCTGCCGGAGAGTGAGAGGGAAGCCAAGACGGCTGAGGCCGAGTCAATGCCGAAGGTGAGGTTGACCAAGATCGATGTGGAGTGGGTGCATGTGATTAGCGAAGGGTGGGCTAGTCCTCTGAAAGGGTTTATGAGGGAAGATGAGTATTTGCAGAGCTTGCATTTCAATTCGTTGAGGATGAAAGATGGGTCTATTGTCAACATGCCACTTCCCATAGTTTTGGCTATTGATGATGAGACTAAGGCAGGAATTGGGTCGTCTTCCGATGTTGTGTTGGTTGGGCCTGATGGAGACTTGATCGCCATTCTCTGGAGGTTCCTCCTTTATTTTTTTTAACAATCTCTTTCTTTTTTTCTTTATTTTTTTATGCACATCTTTTGTTATGCGTGAAGATGCAAGTGACAACTGAAATTGTGTTTCTACATACTCTTAACTGTTAGTATTACTATTTTTTTAAGGTCCCAATTTTTATTTTATGAATGAAAATTAAAAAATGGTGGAAGTTTCAGTAATATATAAGCTTGGTGTAGAATTCCAGCTCGTTTACTTTGATGTATACTGCTAGGTAAGCCTTCAAGGAGTCTTGTTGGTTGCAAGTGTTTTGTGCTTAATTGCTCGGTTACTGATTGAATTGCCATTGGTATCATGAAAGCTAAAATTGTACTGGAAAGTTTTCAAATCAGCTAATCTTTCTTATTTTGTAAATATTTTTTAAATGTTTAAGTTTTATTGCAGCATTCAAATCTACAAGCATAACAAAGAAGAAAGAATAGCTAGAACATGGGGAACAACTGCACCAGGATTGCCATATGTTGAGGAAGTCATCACTCCAGCTGGAAACTGGCTCATTGGAGGTGATTTGGAAGTGTTGAAACCTATCAAATATAACGACGGGCTTGATCAATACAGAATTTCCCCCAAGCAACTCCGGAAAGAATTTGATAGGCGTAAAGCGGATGCAGTTTTTGCTTTTCAATTAAGGAATCCTGTGCATAATGGGCATGCACTATTGATGAATGATACGCGGAGACGACTTCTAGAAATGGGTTTCAAGAATCCAATCCTGTTGCTTCATCCTTTAGGTGGTTTCACAAAGGCTGACGATGTGCCCTTGAATGTTCGCATGGAACAACACAGCAAGGTTTTTCCCATTATTCACTCTATATAACCACTACTAATCATCAGCTAGATTAAGGATACTTGCTATAAGGACCAGATATGTGCAAGCTCTTTAAAAATGATGCAATTCTATGTACTTCGTAGCTCTGACTTATGAACCAAAGCTATTGATGTTTTTCTTGTATGGTGTTTAGCATTCAAATAAATTTGTCTTGAAACTTTAAAGCTTCTGTAAAAAGTTTAAATAGATGACAGTTTTCGTACTTTCTTGTCATTTAGGTAACAGTTTACTGTTTACTTCATCAGCTTCTCTGTTTAAATGACATGTATATTGAATTTCATTTATATCCAGGTCCTGGAAGATGGAGTCCTTGACCCTGAGACTACCATTGTGGCCATATTCCCATCACCCATGCATTATGCGGGTCCAACAGAGGTGCAGTGGCATGCCAAGGCAAGGATAAATGCTGGGGCTAATTTCTATATTGTAGGTCGTGATCCTGCTGGAATGGGTCACCCAACAGAGAAGAGGGACTTGTATGACCCTGATCATGGGAAAAAAGTGCTAAGCATGGCTCCTGGGTTGGAAAAGCTTAACATTTTGCCATTTCGCGTATGTACCAATATGGCAATATATGCTGGTTTGACCGTAATTATAGATATTATTTGTTGCTTTTTACCTTATAACTTAAGCTCTGCTTCCAATTCCATGTTTATTATATATAAACTTTACTGGCTATTCTTGATTGATAAATGCTTGAAATGGTTTTTATGGGTTATGCTGTCCTTTTGCTAAATCTTCAATGTATGAGTTACTCCCCTTAGAGAGTAATATCACATTGTGACTCAAATTTATGCAGTACATGTGACTTTGTCCGTTTTAGAAACTCCTTCATTAATCTTAACAGTAGCCAATAATCTC